AATAAAGTGTGGGGGATTGCAGGCATGAGACAATTTTCTTGTAACGTGTTGTGATCAATATCCTACTACGGAGGTTATTATCTGGCAATGCGATTCTTATCCTTCTAATATCCTCCCATGTATCTAGACTCCATGCATCGTTGAAAACAATRACGTACCTCCTTTGCTGCAAGATTTTCTCCAACCCTTGGACCAGTGCGTCCTCTTCCATGTCGTCAATCTCTTCATAAGCTTTTCCCATGTATTCTTCGGAGATCTGCTTTAGCATTTCCTGTAGGATCTGCTTGGAGTTGTATGACTGTCGAACATTGATCCAAGCATGGCTTTGGAAGTGATGATTCTTCACGCTCTTGCTATCATATATTCTCTTAACGAGAGTGGTTTTGCCTGAACCAGCAGGCCCCGTCACTAAAATCACAGTACGCCTTGGGTYGTCTGCACCYGTTAACAGCTCATTTAGTTCCTGCATGGGCCTCTCAATTCCGACAATCTCATCATCCTGAGCCATGATCAGTTTGCTGGACATTTGGCACCGGGAACTGAAACTTGATTCTGGTTGGGGGCCAGATGAAGAAGGATGCCCATGGTGGCATAACTCTTGCATCTGCATCTTGGTGTCGATGTCTCGCATCTTGGTGTTGATTTTCTTCATTCGATGGGCTATCTCACGGAGRGGTATGTGGTGTATGAGATTGTGGAGAAACCGAGACCATGAAGAAGACCCAAGAGACTGCGGATGCACATGAAGCATGAGATCATCAAGAACATCCTCCATGTCGTAAGCTAGTTCTCGCAACTCCAGAAYCCATTGTTTCCCAACTCCATGAACTTGCTTTTTCTCTGCCACCTCTAGAATTGCTTTCAGGGTGTTTAGCCCTTGTTTGATTTTTTCAAGATCATCTGAAAGTCCTACGTGAACTTCCATTTCTTGGTCGAGCAAGGCGACAACCCTTTGGAGCAGAAAGGATACTGCTCCATCTGCCATAGCCCTCTCTCTCTCTCTCTCAGACGGACACAACTCACAATGGTCAAATTAAGAAGTTGCTCTAGAGTGAAGGACCTTAATTTAAACAGGGTGAGACCTCCTCTCTCTGGTTCACAACTCACAATGATCGAAGAGCTTGTTGAAGACCTTTAAATAGGGTAAGATTATGATTTTCCTCCTTTTAAAATGGGTTTCTGCTACGCGGTTTAATTTAATTTATTTAGTTATTATATTTTTCTTTGACTGAGTAAGAAAGAAAACAAGGGCTGATACACCGGAATATCAGCCAATTCCCCAAGGAACAAAAGTACTGTTGATTTTACTTTGATTAGTGAGGACYGAGGACTGAGGAATTGGGGTAGGGTTGGTGGAACGATGAACCATGGTTAAATGACGGTTTTTTCACGGTTAAACGGTCTAAACGTCCAATTTACCTGTACCCATAGTGATTAGAGCATTGAAGTATGGTTTTCACGTTTCAGTCAGGTCCAAAACTCCAAGTCTTCCAACATTAACGACACCATAAATTTGGATGAGTCCAAGTCCAGATCCCCTAGCTTCCAACGAACTATACGACGCTACCCACAGTTCCCAAAATAAAATAAAAGAGAATAAAAAATATATAAAACACTAGTCTATGAATGACAGACCGAATCTACTACCCACTTGGTACCAACATGACCCCATATTGAATGGATATTAGACTATTACCTGTGGGTGCTACTGGTACATATTAAATATGAGTAAGCCAAATATAAATTATTTTCATTTGAYCGATACATTGATTTAAAACATTTAATTTTTTGTACATTTAATTTATATTTTTTTATATTATATACTACACAATACAGGGGTGTGGGGTGGGCCAGAACAGATTACATGTGAGGCTTGTTGATCGTACCATGGAGAACCTGTGGTTCCACACTCCATGGTTTGATCCTGCAGTTCCTATTTGGAGAACAAGGATTGGCTAAATTTAATGGCTGTTAGGCGAGCTGTGGGACCAATAACAATAAGCCACGACAGTCATAAATGTGACAAGTGACCCTCTCGACTACTGGGTGAAATTTTCTTTTGCTTTATATGTAAATATATATACAAAATATATTAAATATTTGCTTATTTAAAATTATTTATATAACTCAAAATTTTCAAGTTAGATAGCTTACATATTTTGGAAATTTCATAATATTCACTTATTATATGATTTTATTTTCCAACTGGCTGGTTATAGGTTTTTCTAGTCTTTTTGACATGATGGTCGATTAAACAAGGAACGAAAGTAAATCAAAATTTACAAATCCTCTCTTAATTTACAAACTTTTTTTATCATATAGGAGTGCAAATCATAGTTACATACAAATGGATGCCAAATTGAATTGCCTATTTTATATTTTAAAAATTAAGCAACTTGGATTTTTTTTTAATACAAGTAAGATATATTGTATGGAGAGAATCTTTATGGTGGTGGACTCTAGATTTGTTCAACTCTTCACTTTGTTCAAATTGCAAGAAAATGTGGGCTGCATGTGACAATTTCTAATAATATGAATTCATGTAGAAGAGACATAGTTATCAATGCAGCTAGCATTTAGCTTAACAATTGAATTGCTTGATCTGTCGGTCACTTGGACAGATTCTTGAGACAGTTTCAATCCAAACCAATTTGATGCAAAAGAAAAAGAATAAGGAAAAATTATTGGTGATTTGATCAACAATTTGACATGGTTAAATCACTGACTTGTTTGATCTGATCAACGAGTCATGGATTAGAGATATTAGTTTTTTTTTTCTATTTTTATTCATTTCTATCTTTAATAACAATAGCTCCCATTTATTACATATATTTTTGTTTAATAACATGAACATATATTTATTACATATATTTTTGTTTAATAACAAAGATGCAAATCTTTGTTAATTCATCACCTACTGTTCATCTGTACATTGAGAAGATATTCCTTTCAAGGGGATTAGGTATAGATTGGTGACATGAATATATTTTATTTGTTGCCTAAATTGTTTCTATTTATATACTCTTTTTTTTTTCCTTTCCTGTAACATGGTAAAGTTCTCCTATCTAACATATAAACTACATTTACTGTGGACAGTTTACACCTGGAACTTAATGTGTGATTTACAATGGATAAAATGGCGTCTCTTTATTGCACTTGTTATTGATACAAGAACAGCCTCTGTTAGTTCTCTTGTTAATTATACTTCTGAATGAAAGATAAGGATTTAAATTGAAAGATAAGTTTATGCCTCTGTTACATTAACTGGTGCAAATGTAACGTAAAAACGTTACATGGAATACATTGGTACAAAAA